CTACATCTTCCTTACTACTTCACTCACGATAAAACTATTTATACTACTAAAGAACTTTTGTAAAAACACTTTTTTGATATCTTCAATTACTTCTGAATTTATTCCACTGGGTTCAGTTAAGAAAGACACCCTGTGTATAGATAAGCGAACTCTTGGTTGCCAAGGAAATATTAACATAATAATAAATTGTTGAATTGCTGAATTATTTTTTAATATTCCTTTCCGCTCTCGAAAGAAAAAGGTACAAAATTAATTTCTACCGTGTAAATATGTATTTAGCAGTAGTTACGTTACTGCATCAAACGAAAGTCTAGAAAACCGAGATAAATAATAGCCAGTGTATCTGATAACGGAAGAATGCGGTGAGTGACCGATGATTTCTTCCTGCCGGCTCTTTCATTTTTCTCGGTCGTTAGTTGCAATTTGTGGTGAACGTATCGATTCGTTCTTGCGTCGAAACGGAAGAGTTTCAAGCAAAGAGCACCAGTAAAATACTTTTAATATCGAAGAAGGCGCAATTCCAAACACTCGTTCCCTTTGGCAGCGATTTGACAAAAACCGACACGTTTACCCTCTTTTTCCATTGAATTCCTTCAACGCAGCCTCTTGTGCAGTGCAACAATTGTTATTTTTCAATTTTCGTGTTGTACAGCAACATTGAAAGCTCTTGTCTGACATCTCATCGAACGTAATCTCAACACCGTTACGGAATTAACGTTGTTTTATGTTCGAAAACAGATTCTAATGTTTTCTTAAACTTCAGAAATATACAATAATTTACTTTCGCGTACTTATGAAGGTATTAGTATGTCTATGTCAATTTTATTTGTAATTAATTTATATTTAATTTCTTATCTGCTATAATAACGAAAAATATTGAATGTTTAACTTTAGAAGCACGAATGAGCATAATTGAAACTTCACACAATTTTATTTCTAATAATTTTTTACCAGCAAGAATTTATTAACGTTGAATGCATTCAGAAATCTATGGTGCACACGAAGATGTAAATTGTAGAATTTAGAGCAATTTGTAAAATACTTCTTTATTCACTCGTTAAATTCACTTGAATCGTTCAAATCGATCGTTAATTGGAGGGAACGAGAGGCGGTTTGATAAATTGAGGAATTTTTGAAATCTTAATTATTTTCGCGTTATCGTTTTTACGTGAAATTTTCCCCCGTGCGATCGATGAAAAATAAAAGCTTCGATTGCAAACTCGGTTACATCGAACGCGGTCGACAAAGTAAGTACAAAGTGTGCAGAAACCGTGAACCCGGTACATGTAGAATTCCCCTTTAATTGGCTCATTTACGATACTTTAATTAGCGTGGCATGCAACCACGAAATATTAATGTTTCTGAGATCGCTGGTAGCGTAGTATCTCGTTTGGGTCGTTGCATCCGACACGACCTTCGAAGTTCATTGAATAGGTTCTTGCTCCCTTAACTTTATGATAAAGCTTACACGGTTGCACGCATCAAGAAGAGAACAGAGATCAGTGCAGAAGAAGAAAATTGCTAGGGAAAAAGTGTCGGAATACTCTGCGGCGCATAGTGTTTCAAAATTGGAATTTTATTCGCGGAATTGAAATATTAGAATTTGAATGCTTTCAATTCCATTGGGTGAATTTCAGATCCGAGCAATTTCAGTTCGAATGAATCTGAATTTAATTGCATTGGTTGAATTTAAATTTGGAATTAATTTAAATTTGATTGGCTGAATTTAAATTTCAAATAATTTCAATTTGATTGGCTGAATTCAAATGGTGCTTATTTATTATCATTCGAATATCTCGTATTTGATTGGCTGAATTCAAATGGTGCCTACTTTAATGGCATTGGCTGAGATCAAATTTTGAATAGTTTGAATTTCATTGGCTGAATTGAAATTTGGAATAGTTTGAATTTTATTGTCTGAATTTAAATTTGAAATAGTTCGAATTTGATTGGCTGAATTCAAATGGTGCTTATTTTAATGGCATTGCTGAGTTCAAGTTTTGAATAGTTTGAATTTCATTGGCTGAATTTTAATTTTAAATAATTTAAATTTGTTTGATTGCATTCAAACTTTTAATTTGACTAGCTGAATTCAAATTTCGAATAGTTTGAATTTTATTGTCTGAATTTAAATTTAAAATAGTTTGAATTCGATTGGCTAAATTTACGTGTCGAATATTTTGAATTTGATTGGTTGCATTCAAATTTCGAATACAGTTCGAATATGATTTTCAGAGTTTAAATTTCAAATAATTTCAATTTCATTGTCAAAATTAACATTTAGTGTTCAAATGTAGCGACCCGAATTTAAATACCAAAATTTGAATATTTCCAATTTCATTCGCAGAATTTAAATTTTCCAAATTTAAATGTAGAATATTTCACGTTCGGCCAACGTCTAACACATGATACACAACGCATATCCATCTAATCCTCGTTGTCAGTCGAACAATTCAACCCTCCTACCGAAAAGAACAACATTTTTCGTTTCTCTCATTTTGAACAGCTGTCGTTAGCTAGTAACGTTAACGAACATCCCCAAACATCCAACAACGCGAACGAAACGAACGACACGAGAGAAGGGGGGAAACCAAACAATAGTTATCTTCCTCAGTCGTGATTTTTCCAATTTTTCATACAGGTTCCTTTTTATTTCGCTTCTAGCGTTCTTTGAACCAGACCGCGGAACGCAGAAATGCAGATGACACGCGCGTTATTGTTCCTCCGGATAGATTTGATCGTTACGGCTCCGGTTGGCCGGTGATTTATGTCGAGTTCATCGCTGCCCCCTTCGAATCGCAAAAACCCACGAGGTATCGGTTCCGTTCAGAATGATTGAACGGTAAATCGTACTTGGAAAGTTGCAGAGCGAAGCGCATCGGCTGTTACGTTATAACGAATACACGGGGCCTCTTTCGTTTTTACGCGGATCGAAGACGGTTTTTAGGTGGGAGCTAAATTTCAAGGTGGCTCGCGTTCGCGATGAAGAATTTGACCTGCAATCGACGCCAAGCGTTTACGTATGACCGTTAGCTGAAATCGAATGCGACAAAAATCAAGCCACGTTTATTGTGTTACGGTAAAGCCTGGATGGAAGGATAGGTTTGATCGTCTCTTCGAGGTCTGCGAGTGTGATGAACGATATCGTTGATTTACCTACTTCTTCGAGGTCAATGGAAACGTTATTTATTTATTGATCTTCGTGAATTGATTTAAATTTATCTGAAGAAATACTAATAACTTGAATTAGTAAATATTTATTTTGATGGTACTGTTTTTATGAATGAGTAATGCTGAAATATAATTTTTAGTGATGTTGATTTGTCATTTTTTTTTTATGGTCATCCTGTTAATTTATGGAAATTTCTTTTCACTATTTTTTTTAAAGAGGGAAATGAAATTTGTTGAATGTAGGATTTAAGGAATAGGGTTTCCTTTTTAATAGAAAGAAAAGAAGTGAAGAAATAGGAAGACCAAAATATAAAATTTTTCATTGCCCTAAAGTTGCCATGATATTTTCCTACACAAATGCACTTGAAAATCAATATGTCACTTTTCAATAAAAATATGTTACTAGTATAAAGTACAACCTTTGGAAATTAGAAAAAGTACGAAAAAATTTAATCATTGTAAAAAAATCACCTATTTCTGTTTTCAAAAACAGTCTGTTCCGTCCTAATATATCTATTATAATACTAAAACGATGCTATTCAAAATAATCACTAGAAATCCATAATTTCGCTCATGGTGCTACTAAAGAGATTTAAGTAAAATTCAATCGAAATACCGTTTCATGTTCAAACTGTAATCGAAACCAAATTCATCCATTTCTTCAAATTCAAGTCAAAATCAAATCAAAATCAAATTCACCCATTTCGTCAAATTCAAATCAAAATCAAAGCTATCCATTTCTTCAAAATCAAGTCAAAATCAAATTCACCCATTTCTTCAAATTCAAGTCAAAATCAAATTCATCCATTTCTTCAAATTCAAGTCAAAATCAAATCAAAATCAAATTCACCCATTTCGTCAAATTCAAATCAAAATCAAAGCTATCCATTTCTTCAAAATCAAGTCAAAATCAAATTCACCCATTTCTTCAAAATCAAATCAAAATTAAATTCATCCATTTCTTCAAATTCAAGTCAAAATCAAATCAAAATCAAATTCACCCATTTCTTTAAAATCAAGTCAAAATCAAATTCATCCATTTCTTCAAATTCAAGTCAAAATCAAATAAAAATCAAATTCACCCATTTCTTCAAATTCAAGTCAAAATCAAATCAAAATCAAATCAAAATCAAATTCACCCATTTCTTCAAAATCAAATCAAAATTAAATTCATCCATTTCTTCAAATTCAAGTCAAAATCAAATCAAAATCAAATTCACCCATTTCGTCAAATTCAAATCAAAATCAAAGCTATCCATTTCTTCAAAATCAAGTCAAAATCAAATTCACCCATTTCTTCAAATTCAAGTCAAAATCAAATTCATCCATTTCTTCAAATTCAAGTCAAAATCAAATCAAATCAAAATCAAATTCTCCCATTTCTTCAAATTCAAGTCAAAATCAAATCAAAGTCAAATTCATCCATTTCTTCAAATTCAAATCAAAATGCACCTAAAACATCATTATCTTACCCACTATTGTAATTCCAAAGCTATCCATTTCTTCAAAATCAAGTCAAAATCAAATTCACCCATTTCTTCAAATTCAAGTCCAAATCAAATTCATCCATTTCTTCAAATTCAAGTCCAAATCAAATTCATCCATTTCTTCAAATTCAAATCAAAATGCACCTAAAACATCATTATCTTACCCACTATTGTAATTCAAATTCAATAAAAATCGTCACTTATCTGCTGATCCCCACGAATTGATTAAAATTCACTGAAAGAAGTAATGAAAAAATGATGAGCGTGTTAGTTTGTTGGAAAAGTGCGATCGAAGAACAGAAGCAACGTCCATTAACGTCCAGGAACTGTATCTGCTTCCAGGTGGAAGGATGTTTAAGCGACTGTCGAAGTCGAGGCGCCACAGCGCCGACGATGTGGCCCTTTCGTTGTCGAGCCCGACGACCCTGGACGAGCCGCCGGGGACGTCGACGCCGCGGGACAACTGTCAGAGCATCAGCCCAGCCGCCCTGCTGAGGGTTTCGAGGACGAAGTACACCAGGAGAAGCTGCGGGGACGCGAGCGCTATGCAGGCGTTGCTCGCCACCAAGCAGGAGCAGGAACAGGACCACGCCGAAGCCGATTATCAAATGGTCACGGCCGTGCCCGCGTTCATCGTCGAACATGAGCCCGAGAAACAGCGAGGTAAGTTTACTGTAATTTTTTTTTTTATTTATTTTAAGCAATATTAATCTCTATTGAGTTATTTTGTGTGACAGTAATGACAGTGATAATAGAAATATCAGTTTTACGAAAGAGTTTTTCGAGCCTGTTAAGTAAATCTGATTTAACCCCTTACCTCTCACATTTTTTTTTTTATTATTTCTTAAGCGTATAGAAATAAGTTTCACGTTTCACTCCGCTTATGATTACTTTAACATGCTCTGATTTCGCTCTGCTTTCCGTTCAGGCGGCACACAGCGGCGATCACTTCGCGAGCTGTTCGGTTACAAACAGAAGATAACAAATGCGCTCACGCGGCATTCAGACAAAGAAATACCAATCCGGATTAGTAGAAGTGTTCATAAATTGCAAAAAAAAAAAAAAGAAGGAGACGTGCATAACATGATACTGCCGGTCCCACGGTTCCAAAAGTTCACTGTCAGTCCCCACGGACTGACGCCGCGCTTAACGTGTTAAACAATCGATTACAGAAATCAATTACAAAAGAATTAATTACTGCCCAACTCTGCGTGTTTCAGTATTCAATTGTCTAACATACGCGTCTGTCGCGTCTTGCCGGTTTGTCGATGCAGTCGTTTGTTCGTCTTCGAGCAAAGTTCGACGTGGCCCGGCAATTATGTTGTGATAATAAAACGCCTATAAAAGCCAACAATAATTTTTAGAGAAACAAATTATTCGATTTTGTCATCAAGTAAACCGAAAGTATAACACCAGACGATCTACGAAATTTGCGAAGAAATTTCACGATTCATTTTCAAAATGAACATTCCTTCTATGCTATGTCACAGGAAACAGAGTTTGGAAGTAGCTTTTCGAAATTCTGCGAATTAACTAAATAGGTCTGCAGTAGTTTAAAGTGTAAATGAACAACCATTAGTTAATAACTGAGATGAATTTGAAATTATAATAGAAGGAATTATTTGTAACGTAGTTCACAGCCAAGGAAGTCGCTTTAAGGAGGTAATTCACGTTGAACGTATAATGGGGTAATCTCCTATTCTCGTGCACTATTTCACGCATAACGTCGTATTATTAATCTGCGATGCTGTAGTATGATCCTAAGTTTCGAAGCTTAGAGTGGACTAAATAAATTTCTGGTCAAACGGTCGTCGAAATTCAAACTCTAATAAACATCGAAGTATGATACGATATAACAATTATTACAATTTATGTTCAATTTTGACAGAAATAAGATTTGCGAAATAATTACTATCCTTAGCTGAAGAAAATAATCAACGCCTTTTTCTGAGTTAAAAGGAATAATTTTTTAAAAATGTCTAAAATTTATTCCAATTTTTATTTCAAAGTTAAACAAATATGGAAACTTTTCCGTTCTCAATTTACGTTTCCTTTCTCAATCGGAATATTTTTCCCACGCGAATCAAGAGCAATTCGCAATAGTGCATTTCAAATGACTGCACGTCGACACGTCGGATTGAAGTTAGCACATCTGCCCAGGGGTTAATGTGCGTCAAATTAAATTTCATTCGCCTCTATGTGCTATGATTATTAATGGAATAGATAACACGGCGAAGCGGTTGTGATGCTAATTGGTTGAATAATTGCTCGTTAATGACGTTGTAATAATATTAATATTTTCGTCTGTAATTACCCAATGTCGATCAATGTTTACTTTAATAAATTACTATGAAAATTTGTTGCTTGATTAACACTCCAAAATTATGCGAAGGTCTTCAAACACTTACATTTTTACTCCCTTTTTTAACTTTTTCAATATTAGGTGTAGAAATTAATTCGGTATGTTTTTAATATTTATTTACCAAACATCAATTTTAATAATGATAATCTTCATTATTCTGGATGACTATTTTTCTATTTATCTGCTAACTGAAGAATTGCCTCTCTAAAAAAATTAATAAAAAAATATTCTTCTATTTCTCAATCTCGTTTTTAACTTTTCAAGTTTTAATTATCCTAAACTAACTTTAATCTTCAAAATAACCTCCATTATCTCGATTAATCATTTTTGCAATTGTCAAGTAAATGACCAATTCCCTTTCTGAAAAAGTATGGCGGTTTTGAGTCGATGAAATCAAAATTTATTTCTGGACACCTTCAAACTCTTCCATTTTTCAATCCCGTTTTTAACTTTTCAAATTTTAATTATCCTAAACTAACTTTAATCTTCAAAATAACCTCCATTATCTCGATTAATCATTTTTGCAATTATCAAGTAAATGACCGATTCCCTTTCTGAAAAAATATGACGGTTTTGAGTCGATAAAATCGTCAGAACTTCGTGGAAAAGGTACCAAATTATTTTCTACACTTTCTACGTTCCCAATTAATTCAAAAATATTTCCAAATGTGCTATAATTCGTGCAAAATTTTCTCCTTAAATTAAATTTATCTCGTTTCTTTCATGGACATCGGCAAATCGATCGATCGTGACGACCGAAATTTGAATGTCCAAGATAGGTACGCGAGGGGCAATGTCAGTGATTCTTAATAATACTTCTCGTTACTTTGCGTTTATTAAGTATCTCACGACGAGCCAGGTATGCCGCTGCCAGGCATCCAACTGATTTCACTCGTTCCTTTTCGTATCGTAATTACGAACAACCACTCCGCATCTTTCCGACGTGAACATGGTAACATAATCGATCGATCGTTAAACACGGAGAAAGAAAAGAAGTTTGAAAGGGGAGGTCGTAATTTTGTCAGCAATCAAACAAATTATGGCTCTTGCTGACGAGTGGAAACAAGTAGCTGATGACGTGATTCGTAACACGCCTATAGCGATGTTAGAAGTCCATAATTATCCTTAGAGACAAATAAATGCCGTCAGTTTCCTCATGCTAATGGACGTTTAACTATCGAGGACACGTTTAATGACTGTTTTACGTTTCCCCGTACTTAGAAAATAACGCGTATTAGAAAAAAAAAAATGGTAAAAGATTAGAAAGCCATTTCCTACCACGTGTATTATTTATGTTTCGGTGGATTTTATAATAAGTTATATCTTGCGCTTTTAACGAAAAGCTTACCCGAGTGAATCGTTTCGTTTTAGGTTCGCAGAAAGAGTTATTATGTTATTAACGTCGCTGTGTGTCGTTGATAAAAATTTTGTAATATAGAATACGCCTCTGATGTGGTACATTTTATACGTATCATGGGATATTTCTGCAATCTTTTGCAAAATTTTCAATATTTACTTTTATTCGAAATGTTAAGCAGATAGAAATATGTCATACTTCATTTTTCGTTAATTATCGTTTATGAGAAATAATTTCTCAGTAAGATGAAGTAATTACAAGAATTACAATTTTCGTTCTGTATAAACATAATTTTGCAACATTCGTGTAATTATTATACCGGACTGCAAATTTCGTAATTCAATATTGACAGAAATTTTATAATTTTTAATTGTTTTCTCTTGTTCGATGAGATATTTGTGCAACCTTTCGCAAAATTTTCGATATTTACTTTTATTCGAAATGTTGAACAGTTAGAGGTATAATATGTCGTACTTTTTTTTACATATTTTCACAATAGCTAGGGAGAGCAGACAAATATTAATTATCGTTTGGAAAGATATTTTCAAAATTATGAGAATTGAAGTTTTCGTTCTGTGTAATCATAATTTTGCAACATTCGTGTAATTATTATACCGGACTGCAAATTTCGTAATTCAATATTGATAGAAATTTTATAATTTTTGACTATTTTTTGTCAGATGGGATATTTGTGCAATCTTTTGCAAAATTTTCAATATTTACATTTATTCAAAATGTTAAGCACATAGAAATATGTCATACTTCATTTTTCAATTTCTCAGTAAGATGAAGTAGTTACAAGAATTGCAATTTTCGTAATTCATTTTCGGAAATTTCATAATTCACAAAAAATCGCCTTACATTTCTGACACCACTGTTGAATCACAATTTCTTAAAAATGTGACAAATCTGTCGATTTCTTACTTACCACAAATCGCGAATATTTCTGCACAGCAACCATAAACTACGAATAAATTTATCAAGAGCTTTACAATCAAAGGTGAAAAAAGAAACGTTCGATTCTCCAAATTGTCAGAAAAATCGCCATAAATCAGTCACGTCCTCTGTCAAGAAACTCCTTAAACGAAACCAGTGCAACAGAGAATCACAAAATTTACCGCAAAATATTCATTTCCGCCGTGAAAAACAATGACACCATTCGAACCATTAAAACGTGTCTCGATTGCGCAAAACATAAAATCGTCGCCGTTCGTCGACTTTCTAAACTTACGACGAATCAAAATTCTCCGTCCGTTTTTCCGCGAAAAGTGGCAGAACATACAGTTATCCTCCACATTTCTCCTATCCAAGGGGCGTGGAAGTTCGCGAAATCCGTCTCACGATCTCCGATCCACGGTCTCATCTCTCCCCGAGTATCACACCTCTCGTTTCTTTCAATTGTCTCGCGCGGCGGCCTTCCGCGTGTCGGAGAAGCGGAACGCTCGCGCGGTGCATAGAGGAATGCGGCTCTGTTACGTCGCGACGAGGAACGATTGCGTAATTTGCGAATTGTTGTAGCGAGACCGCGGAAAATATACACGGAATGCGCAGATTTCGCCCGGGGTGCAGGGTAATTCTGGCTCTTGGACTCACACCGCCTAAATATCTATTTCCGTCGTCTTGTTAACTTCCCTAGGTGCGCTGATTTTGCGACAGAATTATGTTTTTGCTGAAATAGCATCGAAGTAGGGCACAGGTGATTGTGGAAGGGGGTACTAAATAGAGAGTGGACAGGCGGAAAAGAAAGATAGGTTTCGTTTCTGGACTTCCTGGTGGACTCCGTCGGTAAAGCTGTCTAGGATTTTCCTTTTTCTCTTTCGTGGGGCGGTTTGGATTTGTGCTTGAGAACGATTGCAGCCTTATCGAGAAACGTACCAGCACAATTGGACAGAGTTAATTACACCTTTCTAGAGTATTAGGTCGTCCGATAAATTCGCGCCATTT